CCCTCCTGTCCCTCTGTTGTCCCTCCTCTGTCCCTCTGTTGTCCCTCCTCTGTCCCTCCTGTCCCTCCTCTGTCCCTCCTCTGTCCCTCCTCTGTCCCTCCTCTGTCCCTCCTGTCCCTCCTCTGTCCCTCCTGTCCCTCCTGTCCCTCTGTTGTCCCTCCTGTCCCTCCTCTGTCCCTCTGTTGTCCCTCCTCTGTCCCTCCTCTGTCCCTCCTGTCCCTCCTCTGTCCCTCCTCTGTCCCTCCTGTCCCTCTGTTGTCCCTCCTCTGTCCCTCTGTTGTCCCTCCTCTGTCCCTCCTGTCCCTCCTCTGTCCCTCCTCTGTCCCTCCTCTGTCCCTCCTCTGTCCCTCCTGTCCCTCTGTTGTCCCTCCTCTGTCCCTCTGTTGTCCCTCCTCTGTCCCTCCTGTCCCTCCTCTGTCCCTCCTCTGTCCCTCCTCTGTCCCTCCTCTGTCCCTCCTGTCCCTCTGTTGTCCCTCCTGTCCCTCCTGTCCCTCTGTTGTCCCTCCTCTGTCCCTCTGCTGTCCCTCCTCTGTCCCTCCTCTGTCCCTCCTCTGTCCCTCTGTCCCTCCTCTGTCCCTCCTCTGTCCCTCCTCTGTCCCTCTGTCCCTCCTCTGTCCCTCTGTCCCTCCTCTGTCCCTCCTGTCCCTCCTCTGTCCCTCTGTCCCTCCTCTGTCCCTCCTCTGTCCCTCTGTTGTCCCTCCTCTGTCCCTCCTCTGTCCCTCCTCTGTCCCTCTGTTGTCCCTCCTCTGTCTCTCCTCTGTCCCTCCTGTCCCTCCTCTGTCCCTCCTGTCCCTCCTGTCACTTCTCTGTCCCTCCTGTCCCTCCTGTCCCTCCTGTCCCCCTGTCTCAGACCTGCAGTCCCATGACTCAGCTGTCGGAGCGTCTCTTGTCCACCCTGCTGGTCTGGAGGAAGCTGAGTGGACCGAACCAGCTGATGTCCTGGCAGCAGTTTGTGAGTGAGGTCCAGGACCAGATCAACCCCCTGGTGAGCCAGGACCACCTGCGGACCCTGGCTCTGCAGCTGCACAGCATGGGGGAGGTGAGGACCAGTCTTAGTTTTGAAGCTTTGTTGGACCACATGAACCTCTGCATGTCTGTTGTCCTCAGATCAACCTGGTCCAGAGTGAGACGGTCCAGGACGTGGTCCTGCTGGAGCCCCGCTGGCTCTGCACCACCATCCTGGGGAAGCTTCTGTCCGTGGAGACCCCCAAGGCCATCCACCACTACAGGGGGCGCTACAGGCTGGAGGAGGTCCAGGCTCTGGCTCCGGACAGCGACGTGGAGGAGCTGCTGCAGATCCTGGACGCCATGGACGTGTGCGCCCGCGACGCCACCAACCCGTCCATGGTGGACGTCCCCGCCCTCATCAAGACCAACGGTCTGCACCGATCCTGGACCCAGGACGAGGACGAGGAGTCTCTGGTGTACGGGGGGGTCCGGGTGGTCCCTGCGGAGCACCTGACCCCATTCCCCTGTGGTCTGTTCCACAAGCTGCAGGTGAACCTGTGCCGCTGGAGCCACCAGCAGAGACCAGAGGACAGCCAGGAGGACAGCGACGGAGACATCCACCTGTGGACCAACGGAGCCAAAGTGAGCCGGGCCGGAGCCGAGGCCATGGTCCTGCTGGTGAACCAGGGCCAGGGTGTGGAGGTCCAGGTGCGTGGTGTGAACACGGAGCGGGCCAAGTGCTACTCCCTGCTGGACACCATGTGCAGCATCACAGAGAGCCTGCTGGGCTCCACGCTGCCAGGCCTGCTGACCACCCGCTACTACCTGAGCCCCCAGCAGCTGCGGGAGCACCACGCCCCCGTCATGGTCTACCAGCCCAAAGACTTCTTCAGAGCCCAGGTCCAGAGGGACGGCTGTCTCACCAACACCATGGGGGGCTACCGCGAGAGCTTCAGCAGCATCCTGGTCTTCGGCTGCGTGGAGGTCTACCAGCAGGGGGCGGTGGGCCGGGACCTGCACGTGTCCGACATGCCCCTGCTGGTCCGCAGGAAGCTGTGCCGCCTGCTGGACCCGCCCGACGCCATGGGCAAGGACTGGTGCCTGCTGGCCATGAACCTGGGCCTCACCCACCTGGTGGCCAAGCACAGCGCCGGCACTCCCAACGGGACCCCGGACCCGGACCCGGACCCCCGGCGCGCCGAGCGGCAGCCCAGCCCCACGGCGGCGCTGCTGCAGGAGTGGAGCGGCCGGCCCGACAGCACCGTGGGGGTCCTCGTGTCCAAACTGAGGGAGCTGGGCCGCAGAGATGCCGCCGACTTCATCCTCAAGGCCTCGCCCGTCTTCAAGGTCAACATGGAGGCTGTGGGCGGGGCCTCTGGCAGCCACGCCCACACCTGCAACGGAGGCACGTCCTACAACTCCATCAGCTCCGTCATCTCCCGCTGAGGCTGGACCGGACCGGACTGGACTGGACCGGACCAGGAAGTGCAATCAGAGGCCAACTTTAGAACTCCTGGATGCTGTTCTCAGAACCAGAACCAGGTCTGGACCACGCCCCCCTCTTTTGTGTCTGTGCTTCGTCATGTTTCCTGCTCTGCTGCTGGCTCACCACTCAAACAACAAACAAACAAAAATAAACAAAAACAAACATCCTCACCTGAACAAGTGGGCGGGGCTTTAAAAACATGGCAGCCTGTTAGGTTTCTGTAGACGGCTGCTTCCTCTCTGTTCCATTCTCCTCCTCACACCTGTTGTTTGTTTGTTTGTTGTTTGTTTGTTTGTTTGTTTGTTTGTTTGTTGTTTGTTTGTTGACTTCTTGTGCCTTTGTGGCCTTCTACCTCCCTAAAGCACAAAGCGTCTTCATCAGGTCAGAGCGGTGCCTTCATGCTTCAGACAACAAACACGAATCAGCTGATTTGTTTTACAACATTTTAAAAACTAAAATAAAACAATTTTATTCTTTCAAACAGAAAAAACTGATTTAGTTAATTTTACTTTGAAAGATTTAATATTTCAGAGAGAAAATGAGACGTGAAATCAGTTCTTATTGATCTGTTCTGGTGACAGAGCTGATCCTCCTGTAAGCTTCAGGTCCGGACAGAACCAAAGGTTCTGGCTGCAGTTACTGATCTCTGCCACCAGGTGTCACCAGGTGTCACCAGCTGTCACCAGGTGTCACCAGGTGTCACCAGGTGTCAACAGGTGCCACTAGATGCCACTAGGTGTCACTGGGTGTCACTAGGTGTCACCGGGTGTCACTAGGTGTCACCAGGTGCCAATAGGTGTCACCAGGTGCCACTAGGTGNTAGGTGTCACCAGGTGCCACTAGGTGCCACTAGGTGTCACCGGGTGTCACTAGGTGTCACCAGGTGCAAATAGGTGTCACCAGGTGCCACCAGGTGTCACTAGGTGCCACTAGGTTTCACTAGGTGCCACTAGGTGTTATCAGGTGCCACTAGGTGTCACTAGGTGTCACTAGGTGCCACTAGGTGTTATCAGGTGTCACTAGGTGCCACCAGGTGCCACTAGGTGTCACTAGGTGCCACTAGGTGTCACTAGGTGTCACTAGGTGTCAGGGCAGCCTGGACTCTGGTCCTGTTTCCTTTCAGCCAAACAGCTGAGTTCTGTTTAAAGCAGCTCCAGATGTTTGCTGGACCTAATCTGGTTAATGTGAAATCCTGAGGAACATCTGGACTGAAGCTAGTTTAGCTACATGTCAACTTCTACAGATTATCTGTAAGTTATAAAAATTTGACATCAGTTAGCAGGTAAACAGATGTTTAGAGTAATCTCATGGATTTTTTCAAGTCTTACAGATATTTTAAAAACCTCATTTTCAAACGTATCTAACATGTCAGAGCCTGTAGGATGATTTAAAAACAATAAATAACATCAAACAGACATCTTCCAACCTGTTCTGCTGCTAGAAATAAGTTTTGAACTTCTTCCTCACAGCAGAGCTGATGTCATGTGTCTGACTGAAGGTAAACATCTGGACAGGTTCACCTGTAGGTGTTCCTGCAGCTAAACATGGCCGACAGGCTGCAAGTCCAGGACTGACCAGGACCGTTTGGACCAGGACAGAGGACAGACCCCACCCTCCCGTTGGTGGACCTGTTCCAGCCCCCCGATGGTGGACCTGTTCCAGCCCCCTGATGGTGGACCTAACACCCCCCCCCCCCCCCCCCCCCCCCCCCCCGATGGTGGACCTGATCCCAGCGTGTCGGCGTCCGCGTGGCGTCTCCTCTTGTTTCACTTTGTTTTTACAGCTGGAAGCTGATTGGATCAGCAGTTTAAAGAGGCCAAAGTTTGTACCTGACATCACACAGGTGTTGTGTAGTTGTGTGTAGTTGTGTGTGGAGGAAGTGTTTCCTGCAGTTCCATCTGTTCACTTGGACTAACAGAACTTTAATGAGGAGGCAGAATGAATGTAACGGATCAACTCAAACCAAGAACTGGACCTGAACAGAACCGCTCTGATGGGTCTGATGAAGAGGACAGGAATCATCATCATCATCATCATCATCAGTGCCTCAGACCCAGAGGTCCTGTTCTGTGTGGCCCGGTACTGATGGGACCCTCATGGTGGAGGTCCCTGCAGCACCAGCAGGTCCAGATGTTTCCTGCTGCTGGAGAACATCTGTTGTTTTTTAGATTTGAGTGACTTTCCTCTAATCACCACGTTGCACATGTTTTATTTTTGTTTGTTTGTTTGTTTGAGCATGTTCTGATGATCCCACACTTTGTGTGAAACTTTTTATAATAAACTTTTCTTCTTACTGACGTCTGCTTGATGTGAAGAAACACAGGTTTATGTACAACAGTTTGATCAGTAAAACTTTATTTATAAAACAGTTTGATTAGTAAAACTTTATTTATAAAACAGTTTGATCAGTAAAACTTTATTTATAAAACAGTTTGATCAGTAAAACTTTATTTATAAAACAGTTTGATCAGTAAAACTTTATTTATAAAACAGTTTGATCA